CTTTCAATTTATACATCAAATTAAATAGGATAAAAATATTATTTCATACTTAATATTTTACTACATTATCTAATGCTCTGATTCACATGCAAATTTTAGTAGTTAAATAATTATATCGTAAGTAAAAAAATCGTACATTTAATATTGAATTCAATTATTTATCAATTGATTTCACGCTATCTGTTAATAACTCTCTGTACAAACATTTCATACAACCGTGAACGAAATTTTTTCTTCCCATATTTCACCTTCCATGTCAATTTGTGAAATCTATTTCCAGTTAAATCCCATTCAAAGCTCATAAAGAAATGTTTACAGCCTAAAATTTTCACGCTTATTGTTCTGCTTCCACTTGCTGCCCCTCAGTTATTAATTACACGTTCTCCTATAATTTCGTCCATCGTAATTTCTCACTGGCATATCGCTTGAATTATTCATGAAAGATACCATTCGTTTTTCATTTTCTGAATTGATTAGCTTTGCTGGGAAGCTGAAGATACACACGCACGATGTACATGTATGTACACACAAATCGAATGCCACGGCCTCGTGAACACACTTTCTAAAAAGGGGCTACTGCTGGTGCTATTAGCTTTTATCAGTTTTGTTTACAAATCACTGATACCAGATCTTATCAGAAAATTACAAAAGTATACGCTACTCATGGGGTGGCGGTAAATTTTCGTCCTTGTACAAATGCGTGGGGTGTTAATGCGACGGTGGTGTTCGTAAACAATTGTCTCACATACTCAATTCAGATTCCTCTGTCTAAAATGATTTCTTTCATTTTTCCCCTCTGGGTTATTCCGAAAAACTCAAAGCACCTTGTTGTCGGGAGGTAAAAATTAAAAATTAATTTTTTAGATTAAATTGTTCTCATAATCTGTAAACAAAAAAAAATTTTTAAGAGTACTGGTGAAGATTGTACAAATAATTCACTACACGATCGACTGATGAGGTAAAAAATGTACAAAAAAATAATCGTACGTAATTGTCTGTATGCAACAGTGGAAAAATAACTCGGGGAAAGATGCATGCTCGAGATATTTATATAAGTTGATCTTTACTTTGGGGATGTGCTGTCTGGTGACTTTGGCTTTGCTCAATTACTATTGTATTTTCACCTTAGCTTACTACTCTCATGAAAAATACAATTGAAACGTATTGGACTGTACACGATAATATATAACCGACGCTGTATATCTATGTACTTACAATTCTATTTCTTCTCTATAACAATTTTCCGTTTTTCCTTTAGATGGTTCGAGGCACGTCAGTCGAGCGCACAATGTATTGTCACCTGTATTATTTATCGTAACTCTGACTCTTTTGTTGTAATTATAATATTTATTATTATTATTATTATTGTTGTCTTTAATAATTTTAAGTGCGATCGTTAACTTCTGTTTCAGCATAAATATGTAATTTAATGAATTAACTCGATAAGAGATATGTATTATTTAGAATTCTCGTTGTATATGATTAACAATTCGGTATTTGTGTATTCGAATTTATCTAAAATTATTTAATGATGAAAATCGTTGTTTCAGAGTGTGGTATTTCGGCGTCGAAGCAAACTGCGCAGAGGCGAATCGTTGGCGGCGATGAGGCAGGATTCGGAAGTTTTCCTTGGCAGGTACAAGATTCAAGATTTCGTTATTAATTTAATAATTTTAAATATTTGAAAGTTAAATTAATTTTTTAAATTATTTTTTAAAATTTATAATTATTTGAAAGTTTAAT